AAAATTTCCCAGAGTGAAAGAAACTGACATACAGATAAGTGAGGCATATAGGACTCCAGCTAGCCATGCTAAAAAAATCTACATATAGACATAAGGTAAAATACTGGAAAGCCAGCAGAAGAACAAAATACTACAAGCAGTTAGAGAAAAGAAACAAATCACATACAAATGAAAGCCCATCAGAATCACAGCAGAGTTTTCAACATAAACCCACAAGTCAAGGAGAGCCTGGAATGAGGCATTTCAAGCCCTAAAAGAAAACAACCTCCAACCTATACTGATGTATCCCGAAAAACTATCTTTCAAAATTGAGGGGGAAATAAATACTTCCATGACAAAGAACACCTGAGAAACTTCATGAATACCAAACCAGCACTCCAAACAATTCTTAAAAATATCCTAGAAAAAGACAGTGAAGGTCAAAACTCCATGAGGCCCAACAAGGTAAATCCAGCAGGCAAGGCAAGAAATTAATGGGAGACGGGAGGTAAAATAAAAAATAAAAATCCAACAACAGGAAAATAACATGACAAGGCTAAGTCAATGCATATTAGTTATAACCATCAATGTTAATGACCTCAATTCACCAATCAAAAGAAATAGACTGGCAGAATAGATTTAGAAGCAGAATCCAACAATAGCTGTATACAAGAAACACACCTAATTTAAAAAGAAATTCATAGACTGAAAGGAAAGTAAAAGGATGGGAAACAGTTCTCCATACAACAGGAACCTGGAAAAAAGCAGGGGTAGCTATTTTATTTGCAGACAAAGTAGATTTCATGACATGAAAAAACTAAATAAGCACTAATGCAAATTTAGTGGGGGACCTTAATGCCCCAGTGTCACAAATAGATCATCTAGACAAAAAATGAACAATGAAACACTAGAACTGAAACAGTATTTTGAACAAATGGACTTAATACATATCTACAGAGTGTTCCACCCCACAAAAGCAGAATATGCATTCTTTTTGGCTGCACATGGGTCATTCTCAAAAATAGACCACATGCTAGCTCATAATCTATGTTTAAGTAAATACAAATATATTGAAGTATATTATAAGACCATAGTGCAATTAAACTGGAGATCAATAGTATAAGAAACTGCAAAAACTTCACAAACACATGGAAATTGATTAACACTCTCTTGAACAACCAGTGGATCACAGAGAGAACTGAAGAAGAAATTAGTTTCTACAATTAAATTATAATGCCAGTACAATATACAGAAATCTGTGGGACACAATGAAAGCAGTTCTATGAGGGAAATTCACAGCAGTGAATGCCCATACTAGAAAAACAGTGAGCTCAAATAAACAACCTAATTCTGAACCTCAAGTTCCTAGAAAAAGAAGATCAAGACAAACCCAAAGCTCATATGAGGGAGGAAAGTATAAAGATCAGAGCAGAAATCAGTGCAATGGAGACTAAGAGAACAATACAAAAAAAAAATCAGTGAATTGAAGAGTTGCTTTTATGAAAGAATAATATTTCTTTGAAAATTGATAAACCCTTAGCCAAATTTATCCAAAAAAAGGAAAGAAAGGGCTCAAATCCATGCAATTACGAACACAAAAGGTGAAGTCACAATAGATCCAGCAGAAATCCAGAGGATCATCAATACCTACTTCTAGAACCTGTACTCTAATAAAATGAAAAATACAGAGGAAATGGACAGATTCCTAGATACATATACCAAAGTTGAACAAAGAAGATATAAAAATTGTAAACACCCCAGTTACAATCAGTGAAATTGAAAATGTAAAAATTTAACAACAAAGAAAAGCCCAGGACCTGATCCTTCACTGCTGAATTCTTCAAGACATTTAGAGATGAACTATTGTCATTACTCTTTGAACTCTTCAATGAAATTGAAAGGGATGCAATACTTCCAAATTCATTCCTGGAAGCAAGTGTTCTTTTGATTCCAAAAGCAGAGAAAGACCCAACCAAAAAAGAGAACTACAGGTCAATGTCCCTAATGAACATAGATGCAAAAATCCTCAATAGGATACTGGTAGGCAGAATACAGAGGGTCATCAAGAAGACCATACAGAGCCAGGGATTTAGCTCAGTGGTTCCACCAACTGTCTCTCAAGTGCAAGATCCCAAACTCAATCCCAGCGTCCCCCAAACAAGTCATACACCTTGACCAAGTTAGATTTATTCCAGGGATGCAAGGGTGGTTCAACCAATAAATGTACTCTCCCAAGAAAGAATGGCTGCTATCAAGAAATCAACTAATAACAAATAATAGTGGGGGTGTGGGGAGAAAGGAATCTTCTTCATTGTTGGTGGGAGTGCAGACTGGTGCAACCACTGTGGAAATCAATATGGAGATACCTTAAACAACTAGAATTGGAAGTCCCATGTGACTCAGCTACTCCCCTGTTGCATTTCTTCCCAAAAGAATTAAAAGAATCATACCACAGTGATATATACTCACTCATTTTTATAGCAGCACAGTTTGTAATAGCTAATACATGGAAATAGCCCAATTGCCCATCGACTGGAGACTATAGGTGAAAAACCCTTACTGTACATTGGGGAAAAGCTAAAAGCATTTTCTCTGAGATCTGAAGCTGTACATGAATACTGTACTTGAACACTGGTGGATAGTGAATACTTGCTTTTATTGCTCTTATTTAACATAGGGCTAGAACTTTAAGCAAGAGCAGTCAGGCAAGAGAAAGAAACAGGATCCAGAATAGAAAAAGAAGGTAATTTATCTATTTTTGCAGATGACACGATTTTGCACGCAGAAAACCCTAAATACTCAGTCAAAAGCTGTGAGAACTGATAAATGAAGTTAGCAGCTGTGGGAATATAAAAATCAATACATAAAATCAGTAAATCTTTATAGAGCTATAATAAACTTTTTGAAAAAAATTAAAGCAATCTCATTTACAATAACTACAAATTTTTTTAAATATTTAAGAATAAATTTAACCAAGAGAAAGTTCTCTTCGAAGAATACTGTTAAAACATCCATATTACCTAAAGTAACCTATAGATTCAACATGATTACCATGAAAATACCAATGCCAAAAGAATCATACCACAACAATATATGTGCACATATGTTTATAGTGGCACAGTTTGTAATATGTTTATAGTGGCACAGTTTGTAACAAGTTTAGAAACAGCTCAATTGCCCATCAACTGGAGACTGGAAAAAGATACGGGGTTTTTATAAAATGGAGTACTATTCAGCCATAAAGAATGAGAAACTAGACACATTTATAGCTAAGTGGATGCACATTAAGGCCATATTCTTAAGTGAAATAAGTAGGACACACATGTAAATACTGAATAGTTTCTCTGGTGTAAAAAATTAAAAGTGTAAATAAGGATCAAAATGTATAATTGATATTGTGTATGTAATAGGAAGAAAAAGTCTAAAGGGGTAGGGGAAGTGAGATGGGTAGGGGAAAGGAAAGAAGGGAAAAGGAAAAAATGGATACAAAGTCCTTGTAAATAGGGAAGGGTGGAGGGGGTGAAGGGAGGGCAGAGGAGTGGGGAAAAAATAAGAACCAAGATACATCATGTGAAAGGACCAGATCCCCATGATGAATGTAATTGTATTATATACCCAAAATGTATCAATAAATTTAATGAAAAAAGAAGCCCAGAGGTCTCCATCCAGGACTGTTGTGGTCCCCATGATGACAGCTGCTCAGGGTTCTCTCATCTTCTAGTGCTGCTATCCCCAGAATGTGGTGTTTGCCTCATGGTCCAAGGTGACTACTCAAACTCCTACAATCACGTCAGCATATCTACCAGATGGAAAAGAACATACCCTCTTCTTTAAAGAGACTTCCTGGAACTTGCTTCCACAACTTCTGCTATGGTTGATTGGCCAGAATGGAACCAAATGGGATTCTGGGAAATGTACTTTCTATTTTGGGCAGCCACATGCCTACCTCGAATTCAGGGATTTTATTGCCAAAGGAAGAATGATAGAACAGATATTAGCGGACAGATAGAAGTCTCATTCACAATTTCCAATTGCTATTTGGATAAAGTCTCCCTTGTTCAACAAGGTTCTGATTGATCTAGTCACTGCTTGCTCCCTGGTCTTATCTCTGGTTACTCAAATTGTTTTGGCTCTGTTTTGCTACTCCCATTTTCTCTAAAGAGTAGCCTTTAGACCTCAGTGCTTTTGTATCTGTGCTTACTGCTAGGGTTTAAGAATCTTAGATTAGGCCTCTGTCCATATGACATATACATTTTATAATATCTCACACTTCCTCTTTAGAGCACTTAGCACAATTGCAATTGTAAGTTATTTATTTTATGATATGTTTAATATAGCTCTTCCCCTACTGTATAAGTTGTATGAAAAGGCCTTGTTGCAACCTATATTCTCAGTAGTGAACACCATGTTTGGCACAAATTAGACTCTTAATGAGTATTTGTGGGATCAGTGAAGAACTTTCTGGAGGAATGCCCTCATTTTACAGAGGATGTAGCAGTTTAGCCAGAACACTCAATAGAATCTGGATTCCAGTTTCTTTAATCAGTTAGTTAAAATGAAGTTTTGACTCATTGAAATTGTCTGGCCTAATTTTTTGCCTTAGCAACTATAGTGCATCAAATAATATTTACCCTTCATTTGTTGGTTGTTATCAACACATCTAAAGGCCAACATTTTAACTGCAGTCAGCACTGATCAAATCCACAGATGCAGAATGTGGAAGAAATCAGTGGATGGAGCCTATGTAAGTCCAGGAGACAGACTGGGAAGTTGCTTTAAACAAATGTGCTCTATATTGGCTGGATTTCTTTCCAATTTCTCCTCCCATGAAAAGTGGTGTGCCAAAAAAGTTGAATGGTTTTGCTTCTGGATTGATGGAGGATTTATATTATGCAGAAATTGTCACCCTTGTGTTGAAAGAAAGAATAATTTTTTTAAAAGTGTCAGTGGCATGTTGGGGCTGTGAGTGACAGTCATGCCTGAATCTAACAGTTCTTTTTTGTTTGTTTTAAATAGCAGAGAGAAAATGGCATCATTTCAAGTTGTCCTGATTTTTAAACATAAGCTGCTAAAATCATCACAAAAGGAGAAGTCCAGGAAGAAGGAGGATGATCTTTGGAATACCCTGAATTCTGGTAATAGCCCACAAGCTTACAGAATGTTGTGATTGAGGGATTAAAATTGTTTTGAAAGCTGTTAGTCTCAGTTTTCCCAAGATATGGGACTTTGAAGAACTGAGGAAACAGAATCTTTACATTTGTCAAAGGCTTCTAAAACTACAGTACTCTTGGCATTTGTTCAAGATTTTAATTTAATAAGATATGTCTTGCATCTTTGAAAAGTTTAGTGCTTTAGATCTTTTTAAAACTTCCCAGTAACTGAAAATGGATCTTTCTCTTTCTGAGTACTTAAAATAACATTTACCTGTTACCGTCCTTCCCAAATTCTGACACTCCTTCCCTTCACACAGTGCTTTACTGCCTTTGTCAGTGTTGCCATCTCTTGCCTTTGAAATGAGGAAGAATTAAACCACAGGGCTAAAAGTTGGAGATGAAAGACTGTAGGGGCGAATGCATGATTTAATTTGGACTGAAGCTAGTTCTATTCCCAAACCATTCCCCAAATAATTTGTCTCCTAAAGAAATTTAGTCATCAAAGTCTAAACACAAACCAGGAATAAAGGCCAAAATTTCATGCATTTAAAAGTGTTATTTCACAGTGTATTTCAGCAGTTAACACTTCAGATAAGATTGGTGTAGTTTAAGATATGCGCCATCTCTTCTAATTAAGAAAATGCCCATGTTCCTATCCTTAGTAGCTTTAAGGGAGGTTTGAATGAATGGGAAGGACTAGGCTTTCCAGCAAGGTAACTGTCAATCAATAAGTGTTCTGGCTACTTGATATTTAGAATAATATGATCAACTAGGAATGCAGTCAATCAATCAAGTAAGGCTTTCTCTGGGTGTGGAGGAGAGCAATGGGGAGAAGTAGTTCTCAGAGTAATGAGAAGATAGAGGTAGTGTTATGGTTACGCTGATTCTACCCAGTGGGAAGTCTATTTTCAGCTTGGATCCCAATAAGGAAGTGACACTTCCTGTCACAGAGATGTTAAACAGTCCCTCCCTTGGCTCTGCCTAAGTGGCATATGTCACCCAAATGTAGACAGAGTCCTCAGAGTGGGAGAGAGAGAACCTGGCCTGCTGTATCATTCCCTGAGGATAAGTAAACCAGGAGCTAGTATAGTTTTGGTAGGCAGAGTTTATCAAGGAAACAAAAACCTCCTCAGTCCTACTTCATACAGAGAAATAAGAAATTAATCAAAGCCAGTACTGAGAAAGTAGAAGAGGAATATAGTATAGAGCACATAAAAGGAAGCCAGAACATCTTAGGAAATAAAGATGGGGTTCTTCCTGTGCCACTCACAGCGTGGACTGGTGCTGGACTGCTCACTGGCCTACAATGAGAAAAAGATGTAATATATGCATTTTAGAGACATTTAGAGAAAGTATTTAGAAAATGTCATAGAGATTTGTTACTGCTGCAGCAGCCAAGTATGATCCTGGATTCTTTTAATTTATCTTGTACTAGAGCTGTTTCACTTGAAGGTGAAAAGGAAACATGAGTGACACATATGTATTACTCAAGCCATACCGAAAGTCCTGAGTCCACTGAATGAGATAACTGACCAAATAGGTGTGTATTTAAATGTCAAACTAAATGTGGACACAAGACAAAAAGATAACAGGCAAGATGGAAGAAACAGTAGACTTGTCTTATTGAACAGGGCTGCTGTTGAGTTCAGACAGTAAGTAATCTGTGGTATGATATTTTAAAGTTAGTGTCTTAGTCCATTTAGTGCTCCTAAAACCGAATGCCTCTGAGGGGGTAGTTTATAAAGAACAAAAATCTCTTCTGGAGGATTGGATGTTTAAGATAAAGACACCAGCAGACTCTGTTGTTTGGTGAGGGCTTTATCTTCTGAGTGGAGAATCTTTCCTCACATGAAAGAAAGTAGGAAGGGAAGTGACTTAGTATTGCTTCAAGCCTCTTTTATAAGTACTGTAATTCTGTTTTTAGCCTAATGATGTCATAAAGGGTCCACCTTTCATTGCTATCATATTGGCTATTTAGCTTCAACATCTAAATTTTGAAGGGGACACATTCAAATTATACCAGTTAATTGATTTGAACCCCAAAGTGTATAAGATCTGGAATTCCTTTGTTCATCAGAAGATAATTTAAATGAGAAAATGATTAGAAATGACTACAGAGGAGTTATGATGGGATGACACATTTTGAATGTAGCAGTGATTCTCAACAGGAATTAGCTATATGTATACTTTCCATAAAGCATGTGTATAATTTTTAGAGTTCTTATATTTTACCCCTTTATTTATTTGTCTGGAAGCTTTGTGAATCATGGGACCCCACTGAGCTATTTCAGACAAAATGCTGTGAGTTGGAATGGCCACAAATGGATATGCTGAATCCTTTCAGAATATTTCATTAACCTAAGAGACCTACTTCCAGCAGAATATGCTACAAATAAATCTTCTTAGTCCTCTGCTCATGAAAGGCTTACATTCTATCTCAGTGAAGTACAGTTTATAAAGAATAACAATCTACAGTTTTAAAATATATGACTTTGGTCTTGGATACTTATTATGTACTAGAGGTGTATATTGGTTTGGATTTGAGCAGTGAGAAAAACAGGAGAGACATACCCCTGATATTAGTCACTCCATTCAGAAAGCCACCAAAAGAATAGGGGGTGGGGACTACGTTGGAGGAAACCCTTAGCAAATGTTATAGGTCTCTTCAGTTAATCCCTCAGCACTCATCTTATCCATGACAGATAGCTTCTTGCCCAGAAACTTGTGTATTTCCATTCTTTGGCCACAGGTACTTAGTTTGCTTGTACTGGGGGAAAACCCCGAATACTGAGTTAACCTTCTCAGGAGTTACCCACATTCAGTGAGAGTTGGTAGCTGGTGGATAAATAATCCATATCCCTCGCTCCATGGGTGAGCCAACTCCAAGATGTCTTCTGCACTATTTACCAGAGATTCACATAAGGATTAAGCCACAGCTCCCTATAGCAGTCAACCATTATTAATTCCCTTTTACTCATTTCCTTCCTTTGTCTTAATTCTCCTTTCTCTTACCAGTGCTTCCTTGGATTACCTAGCCAATAAGGTGCTTGGACCTAGATCTTTGTCTTAGGGTCTGCTCCTTGGATAACTCAAAAGAAGACAATGCCCTATAGTTATAGTCATTAGGACGTAGCAAAATGCTTAAAAATACAGAGTTTCCAGACCCGTCTGTGCCACTTTCCTGTTGCTGAGATACAACATAACTGTAAGGAGGAAAGGTTTATTTCCTCTACAGTTTGTAGAGGTTTCCGGTCCATGGTCGGTTAACTCTAAGGCAGAGGAGCCTGGCAGAGGGCCATGATAGAGGAGGCTTACTTGTGGCATGGCAGGCAGGAAGCAGAGAGAGGGAGCAAGGGAAGAGGGAAGAAGATAAAACCTTCTGTGACACGACCCTAGTGACTTTTCAGACCAGGCTTTACCTCACATCAAAACGTTTAGCTGGTGGAGTAATCCACTGCTCAGCATCCAATCACCACCCGAAAGCCTTACCTGTGAGCACATAAGGCTCTGGAGGGCATCTAGATATAAACCACAACAGGACCAGGAAATGTATGCAAGTACTCGAAGGGCAAATGCACACTTGTATGGTAGGCTTCCTGGCCTTTCTGGATCCAAAAACATTACCATCCACCCGTTCATCCATCCCTCTAACCATCCTTTTAGCCAGCCAGCCAGCCAGCTATTCCCTTTTCCCACTTATCATACAATTATTGAGTTGTTGTTTTTTTTAATATTATGTTAATCACTTTTACGTTGGTTGTCTTTACCTCTATGCTCTAATAATGTCTACTTTGTTTCACAGATACAGCCACACGAATTGGGGTTGCCTCTTTCCTATTATTAAATGCTTGGTTAAAGTGTTATGTGCTTCCTATGTGAACTTCTGTCTTGCTCATTATTTATTCTCATCGTTTTTAAGGATTTTTTATTTTTTGGTGTTTGGGTGTTTTTGGTACCAGGGATCAAGGTTGTCTTTCTCTATGCTCTAATAATGTCTACTTTGTTTCACAGATACAGCCACACGAATTGGGGTTGCCTCTTTCCTATTATTAAATGCTTGGTTAAAGTGTTATGTGCTTCCTATGTGAACTTCTGTCTTGCTCATTATTTATTCTCATCGTTTTTAAGGATTTTTTATTTTTTGGTGTTTGGGTGTTTTTGGTACCAGGGATCAAACTTGGGACCTTGCGCTTGCGAGGCCGGCAGCAGAACCACTGAGCTAAATCCCTGGCTTTTAACGAGTTTATAAACCTTGAGTTCTCGAATCTGATGTGTGACTAAAGGTCAGAGTAGGATGGATGAAGTCGTGGGAATGTATTGTATCTCACACCAACAGCATCCACTTGCCTCCTCCAACTATGTTAGAATAATTTATCTTTTGACTTGGCTTTCTTTCTGATACCCACATGTTTCTCTTAAGGTTGCTATAGTTTGGATATTAAATCTCCCTTGTGGTGGTACTGGGAAATATTAGAAGATTTAAGAGGTAAGGCCTAGTGGGAGGAAATTAGGTCACCTGGAGAATGCCGTTTAAGGGATTTTGGGAACCAAGCCAGCCTCCTGCTTCTTTTTTTTTTTTTGCTTCTTTGATGCTGTGATGTGAACAATTTTCTTTGCCATTCAGTCCCACATAATGCATTGTTGCACCACAGGCCCGTAGACAATGGGGCTCAGCGACCATGGACTAAAATCGTGAGCTAAAATAAACCTTTCCTTTTAGAATTTTATTGTCTCAGATATTTTGTCACAGTGATAGAAAACTGACACAAAATCTCTTATAAATACTATAAATACTATCCATTAATACTAATGAATAGCATCTGCACCATGTTTTATACTTTTCTAAGAACTTCATAAAATTTCAGGATTGGAAGGAATATAAAAGATCATCTAGTCCAGCCACACATGATATCCAAATCTTTCCTACATATGCTTAAATACTCCCACTGATTTCCAAGGCAGTTTCCGCTATCTTCCTGACC